GATCTGGCATCTCGTCTACAGTCGCTCTCTCAGAGACGTGCCGTCGCTTTTCTCTGTCATTTTAACAAATACTTTCACGGTAGCTGCTACGACGAGCTTCTCTCGCTAGTTCCCAAACTGCATGAATTTAAACGTTCTTCTAGGTCGGCATCTCAGTCCCACCCTTTCACTGTTGAAACGGTCAAATGTAGCCGTCTCTTCTACTCCAATAGCTTCATGTCTCGCACTTTCTGTCTGTGGAATTGTGCTGCGCCAGGAAATTTTTCTCGCCGGAGTCAAATCTACAAATCTGACTTGATCTATCCCCTAACCTTTTCTTCATCCTTTCCTCTATCACTCCTCTTTGCTCACGCTCCAACTCTCTGTAACCCCTTGTGTGCTAGTGGCTTCCCGCCTTGCTTGGGGTGGAATGCTTAAAAAAAAAACATAGAATGAGTAAGAAGAAAAAGCGCATAATCCTGCATGTGAGACCCAGTTAATAATACCGTCATGAAGGGTAAAGCAACCCGCTCAAACGTTCTGCGTTTCTTCCCAAGTATTAGGTTGGTGCAAAAATAATGACGTAATAATGTCGTTTTTGACGTATTTTTTAACGTTAAAAAACGACATTATTACGTCATTATTTTGCACCAACCTAATATCTATGCTTCCGACGCCGTTTGGTTAACTTTATCCTTCGAACAAAAAAAAAAAAAAAAGCAAATCTCTTGACAACCACCCATTATGCTACCAACCTCTGCTGATTAACCGAAATGCACAGTGCGTTAGCAACTAGGGGTCCAGCCTAACTGGTTAGGGTCAAGAAATGACCCATTAATTCTGCATTATTGAAAGATCTATTACCGTCGCCTATATTAATTCCCTACCATAAATTATGTACAGTTTAACACTACCAGTCATTTAAGCTCAGGAACAATGAGAGACATGGCTCCTCTAGTATATTATTATTATTATTATTATTATTATTATTATTAGTAGTAGTAGTAGTAGTAGTAGTAGCATTAGTAGTAGTAATAGTATTCATATTTCCTTTGATTTTTGTTGTTTATGTTTTTTTCCGCGTTCTCACTAGATACCTAAGGTCAAAGTTGACTTCCACTGTTCATTAAAAAAAAAAGAAAAACAAAAAACTAAGGTTACATACATTTTACATAGATAAAGCTCTTCATAATGTGTGGGTTGTAATTTTGGCTATATTTTTTTGTATTTATTTAAGTATGGGCGAGCAGGAATCTCTTTAATGAGTCTATCGAAACATTTTCCAAGAACTGAGGGGCTCCAATTACAAATTAATGTCCCTCATGTGCCAAGTTTTGAGCATTTTCATCCTAGTATTTTGATAGTTTTTACCATCTTCAAAGATAATTAAAAGGAAAATTAATGAAAACACAATGTATTTAATCAACCGACCCATTGTCGAACAAAAATTATTACAGGCCCCTATCTCTTAGTCCAATAAAAGTTTCCTTTTGATGCTGAAGTTGTTATTTTATTATATTTTTTGTCATCATCATCATCATTCGAACAATAAGTTCGCAGAAAGACCTAAGGCAGGGCACACATTTTTTTTTTTTTTTTTTTTCTCGGTGAAGTTGCTAGCGTTACATAGACAAAATCTCCTTAGTAGTGCTGTACTTAAAAGACAATTTTCTGTATTCTCTTAAGCTGGGGTTTCTAGGATTCTTTCAATGTGTTGTTTTGTTCCATTTTTTATAATTCCAATAATTACCACTGGTATTATTCTTGTTTTCAATTTCACATTACGAGTAAATTTAATTCTTCAATTGTAGGCAAGTTTTTTCTTTCTGGTTTTTGACAATAAGTAATGTTATTTCTAAAATTCCAAAGTGTTTATTGTCCAGTGTAAGTAAACCTATGACGATTTTATATTCTGTAAAAGTATAGAACATCCTGAGATTAGATGGTCTATTGTTTCTTGGTATTTGTCACAGAACCTGCATTTTGGATCCAATTATTATGTATGATAGAAAAATTTAGTGAAAAGACTCTGGTCTTGCTGCAAGAATAAAACCTTCAGTTTCAGACTTTAATATGCTCGTAACCATCGATTTAATATCAACATTGGGTTTATTTGCATCGTTCTGGATATTCATATCAGCGTTGTTTCATCTGTTCAGGCTTTATCCTTGGCTTTTTCTTTTTCATATCTTTTGCTGCAATAGTTGGTTCTTGGCTTTTCAGAATCTACTAAATGTAAATGTTGTTTTGTATTTACTGCCTTTTTTTATTGAATATTTTTTTTTCTTTTTTTCATGTTGTTTCTAATTTTATCATTCATTTGTTGTTTATTAAGTTAGTAAGCCAATAGTTGTTGTCTTAAAAAAACAATTTAGCTGAATAAGACCTCTTCCCACCTTCTTTGCGGGGTATGTATAGACGGTTACATCAGCCTTTGGATTGCATCTTTAAAGAAAAAAGCTTTCTTGTTTTAGAATCCATTTGTCTGATTTTTAGAGTCCAGTTCAAGATGTTGAAAACTATATTGGACCACTTTTTAACATAATTCTGTTCTGAGAATTCAATTCATAATACCAGTCGTACCCTTCTATAGTACTCTTTGCACTTTTCTTCTTTCATTTTCTTATGGTGAATTCCTTCACTCTCATTTTGACTTATAAGCTTCTCCTTGTTCTAAATCTTTTAAAAGTTTGTTGTAGCGAAGCTTTAGCACAATCAAATTTCATTCCAATGTCTTACCTAGCATTTTACAGAAAGACCTTCAGCTCATTGTCATTTCTAATTTACAATTTTAAGTCATCCATGTAAAATAATGGTTTTATTTTCTTTTGCTATTTTTTTAACCGCATTCTGTCTTGTTAAGTTCTGGTTAATGCAAAATAATGACAAAGAGTTTTGAAAATTCCTCTATTGATGTTTATTTCCAGACTTATCCTGATTTTTTGTAGTTTTTCATATCGACATACATTGTTTTGAAATTGATGATAACGGGTGATACCTTGTACATTTTAAAGACTTTAAGATCAGGAATGTGGTAAAAATACGATAATCTTCAGGCAATAAGATTTTTTTCCCAGGAAGCAGTTTTCCAGGATCATCCTGTAAATAAGATCTTTTACAACACCTTTTTTGTTCAAGTGGTGTATGTCATTTCTTTCCAAGAAGAAATATGTCTATTTTGTTAAAATAGATGTTAACAGTTTGTATGTTGTTGGAAGATATGTTGGTCTATAGTTTTTTCGGAAAAAATCACTATTTTTTGGGTAGAAGAAAGGCTCCTTTGGTCATCCATGCAGGAATTTTAGTTGGATGTAACCATTTCTTGAAAGGTTTTTTTGTGTCTGTATTTAAATAATATAGCCAAGTTAGGAATTTTATCTATTCCTGAAATTTTTTCAGTACATTTAACATCTTCTTTTATTCCCGCCCATGTCTGTTCTGGTTTAAGTTTTTAACTCTTGCGCAATAAAAAAAAGCATAAAATTTCTTTGCATATCTTGTTCTGTCTATAGAATATCTTTTCTCTACAATCTTATTCTTTGAGCCTTCAAGTTGTATTGTTTGTTTTATTTTTTCTTTAGTTGATAGGACTTCATTTTTCAATTTTCTTTTCTTCTCTTCTTTTTCTAAAGTTCATCAGCACCGATAATTCACTTCTGTGTTATTTCTTTTCTAATTTTCTTTTCCAAGGTGGATCTTCATGTGAGACTGCCTTTTTTTTTACTTTGATGTTAGTTTATGCTATTGCATTAATTGAATTTATTAGTGTCTTCTTCAAGATTTATGGATTGCTTAATAGTTTTGAGGCCCTTTGTTGGTTGTAATTTTGGGATCGTTCCTCCAAAATTCTGTACTTATAATTGATTTCATCCTTCTTCTTGTATATTAATCTTGTTTTCTGTGATATAAATGAAAATCGTTTTTATTACCGTCTTGTGACTGACTAAGATCATTTTCCAACATTTCTAAATTTTTCGGCATTATCTTCACAGTGATTTTGTGTATTTCGGTTTTTTCATTATGAAACAAATTGATGTTACTAGATTCCGGTTCCTTTTCATAATTTTGTTTTTCTATTCTTGTTGAATTCTTTTTATTTATAGCCTTCAATTGCATGAAGTTTATTTTTGTCTATGTAAATATGAAAGGAGTTATTTTCTGAGGTTTGATGCGCTTCATGGAATGCATTATCCACGAGACCATTTTATTTTTTTTTTTCTTTATTATTATTATCATTATTATTATTATTATTATTATTATTATTATTATATTACTATTATAAGATATGGATTGAATTTTAGATTTCATGAAAATGTACACTGATTTCTCCGAATAACTATCTGCGAAAATTGAGACATTTCTTTTTGTGAAGGAAGATATTAGCTGAATTGATATAATGCACGCTGTAAGCGACCTTGCTCCAAATTGTTCCCTCTACGATGAAGGAAAAAAGATTGAGCAAAAGTGGGCTCAAACAAAATAAATTGAAATCCCCACCCCAAAAAAGGAATAAAATTAAGGTGAGTGAATAGTCCTGCAGGGTGAGGAAAAAGAAAAGCGTAATGCGAAAAAGAGAAAATATATATATATATATATATATATAAAGAACAAAAAAAAAATATTGAAGAAGTCAAAGAAAACCATGATGAACAGAAGTGAATTAATAAAGTAAAGAATTTTTCTTCTGTGTCAGGACGTTGGCAATCATGTGTCTTCGCAATTTTTTGCCATTTGTGGGGCTTAATAAATTTAAATTTTGAAGGGTATATATATTCTGCGAAAAAAAAAGAATATTAAATTTGATGAAGGAAGGTAAAAGATGGATGAAATGTTGCACAAATGATACAAAGATGAAGGCAATGCCGAAAAGAAAGAAAATGGATGCTGAAATAAAACATGAATACGAAACAAAAAGAAGGAATGTGAGAAGTTTGTAGGATGAGTAGAAGTAGAAGAAGAGGAAAAGTAGCAAGAAAACGAAATTCCAAGACGAAGAAAGAGTAAAAGATCATTCAGAAAAGTTACGAAGAAATAAAGGGAATAATAAAAAAGTGAATAATGTTTTTCTTCATGTTATAACGTGTAGAAAAACATTCTGAATGAGAAATGAAAAATAAATAAAAAGTTCCAAAGAGAAAAGAAAAAGAGAAATGTCTGAGGAAATAAAAAGCGAATGAATTAGAAAAAAAAGGAACATTTAGAAGAGTGTCGTAATCGTTGAGAAGAAGAAAAATTAAAAAGAAGGAAGAAGAAGAAGAAGAAGAAGAAGAAGAAGAAGAAGAAGAAGAAATTTTTGTACAATTCTTACGTTGGAAGAAAATTTTAGGGCCGAGTGGAAGAAATATTTTGAATGGATTTAAGTGAGAAAGAAGAAGAAGAACAAGAAGAAGAAGAAGAAGAAGAAGACGAAGAAGAAAAAAAATGATGGTATAATTACTACATAGATGAAGAAAAAGATGAAAAAGAAGAAGTCGATGACGAACACGAAGAGGAAGAAATGTTTTAATACTTTTACTTCGAAATAAAAGTTTTGACCTTGAGAGGAAGATATATTTCGAATGAATTTAAGCGAGAGAAAATGCATTCAAAGAAGAAGAAGAAGAAGAAGAAGAAGAAGAAGAAGAAGAAGAAAGAAGAAGAAATGATTTTACAATTTTTACGTTGGAAGAAAAATTTTAGACTTGAAAGGAATAAATATTTCTAATGAATTAAAACGAGAAAAATGCATGAAGGAGAAAAAGAAATGTTTTTATTACATTTACATTGAATTTGTAGGCCTTGACAGGAAGAAATATTTCGAATGAATCTAAGCGAGCGAAAATACATTAGAAGAAGAAGACGAAGAAGTGGAAAAAAAAGCAGGAAAATCATATGCCGAAGAAGAAATATATTAATTCGTTTGCTATAAAATACCGAAAGTAGGTCTTGTAAGAAACGCCCTATTTAAAAAGAGTTACTTAAGAAAGACGTGAAAAGGACGAGAGTAAGTGAAAGAAAAAAAAAAAACAGGAGGACGCTGGTTGGAAAGATCCGTGAAAAATGTTAGATAACAGGCGAACGAACAGCATTCAAATTCTGTAAACGGAAATGCAAGAAATATGCAGATTGATTGAAACTTAAATTGATATCGAAATGCTTGGAGCCGAAAATGTGGAATTTATTATTCACTCAAATATATTTTTTAAATAATCGATTTTCTTCTAAGTCATCTCTGAAATATGGATCGCCCGTAGCAAAGTATAAACGATTGACGTGAACTCTCCTATTTTTTGTAGCAACAGAACACTGACTCCAGAATTTGCATTTCTCACCAACTTAGATCTAGTGCAGAATGCCAAAGAGGTTTTCGCTTATATGTGTTTTCCTTCGTTTTTCTTCGGAGAGTTAAGGGAAAGGCTAATTATTTATCTGCGGCAATGGCGGAACATAACGGCTGTACTAACTTAACAACTAACGGTCTTACAAGCAAAATTATACAATTATGCCAAACTTGGAGATGCATTAATTTTTACGACCTCAAATATTAACTTTCTTTCATTTCCAATTATTTCATCTAGGGTTAGCATTTGGGGATAGGTTTAGGGGTTAGTGTTCGGATTATAATTAAAGGCAGCGGAAAGTGATCTGGTTATCATTAACAATTCTTTATACAAAAAATAATAAAAGGCACCAAATACATATTTTAAAGTTTGTAAACTGTCGAATTATATATAAGGATAATAACGTTTTAGCTGTTTTCATCTTAACTATATACAACTCATCTAGGGTACCTTGAGGCGGTGTAATGATTAGCAAGCTTGTTTCGCTAGAACAATTACAACTGAGTAGTGAGTTCGATCCACACTTGGTGCCTCTTACTTTCCGCCTTGTGCTACATCAATGCTACGCTTGGAAAATCACTATAAAACTCATCTATCTACTGCGGTCTCGAATAGCTACATGCGACAATTACACTGGGATTAAATAGTATAAGCGGAGATGATCACATAATATTACGGTGTTACGATAGTATCATATCTACCGTCCATCTTCTACTATCGTATCATATCTAAGGCCATTTTCTATGTTAGTGTGATATCTACTGTTCATTTTCTACTATGGTATATTTTTCAACTGTTGGAATTATGAAATATGATTAGGGTTGTGGTTAAGATTTAGCGTTAGGTTTAGGGGTTACGGTTCTGCTTAGGGTTAAAAGCAGCGGACATTTAACTGGTTATGTACTAGAAATCATTAACAATTCTTTATACAAAAATAACAAAATAAAAAAAAAATCATCAAATAGTGATTTTAATGTTTTTAAACTGATTTGATGTCATTTAAATAACAATAAACATGTCATCGTATTTCCTGAGCTTTTTTCAACAATAATGAGAACATCGTCTTTTGCGACAGGTCGCGACTGCCTCGGGATATATTATACTATAATAGTACCCATATGTCTTTGACAATTTGGTTACATGCAGTGCTGGCCTTTGATTTTTCAGTCTTTACCTCAAGAGGAATTTTGGTCACCCAAAAGAAAACGTGGGTGATTATTAAAGTCTCAGTGAGTAAAACTCGAGGTGCAATGGTTGATCATCCGGGGTTGGGGTTGTTTTGATTTCTTGTATAAATGCCATAAAATGGTTCTCCTCTCTTCATCTCACCAACAACATAGAAGAGAGTTTGCTTTAAATTCATTATTCTGCGTCTGTTCTCAATCTGCTAGTAAAAGACGTTATATTCTTTGTTATTTTTATCTTCTTTTCCATATAAAAGGTGATACCTTGCCGCGTTTCTATTTTTGTAGAGACGAGGGGAGTATTTAATATGAAACATCCTTCGACCGCAAGGATTAAATGACTACCAATTTCTACTCGTTCTCTCTGCTTACATATTCATAGACGTAGGGCACCTCGAGGCGATGTAATGGTTAGCGAGCTTGTCTCGCTAGAACAATTACGACTGAGTAGTGAGTTCTATCCTCACTGGGTGGCCCATACTTTCGTTCTTGTTCCACATCTAAGCTACGCTTGGAAAATCACTATATTAGGGCACCTCGAGGCAGTGTAATGGTTTACAAGCTTGTCTCGCTAGAACAATTACGTTTGAGTAGTGAGTTTTATCCTCATTCGGTGGCCCGTACTTACGGCCTTGTGCCACATCTAAGCTACGCTTGGAAAATCACTATATTAGGGTACCTCGAGGTAGTGTAATGGTTTACAAGCTTGTCTCGCTAGAACAATTACGTTTGAGTAGTGAGTTCTATCCTCATTGGGTGGCCCGTACTTACGGCCTTGTGCCACATCTAAGCTACATATGGAAAATCACTATATTAGGGTACCTCGAAGTAGTGTAATGGTTTACAAGCTTTTCTCGCTAGAACAATTACATTTGAGTAGTGAGTTCTATCCTCATTCGGTGGCCCGTACTTACGGCCTTGTACCACATCTAAGCTACGCTTGGAAAATCACTATATTAGGGCACCTCGAGGTAGTGTAATGGTTTACAAGCTTGTCTCGCTAGAACAATTACGTTTGAGTAGGGAGTTCTATCCTCATTGGGTGGCCCGTACTTACGGCCTTGTGCCACATTTAAGCTACGCTTGACAAAACTATCCTGACCACTGCTCTCGATAGGGACCTCCATCCTGTGGTTCATTGGGACAGGAAATGGCTTGTTAACTTTCTGTCTCGTAAACGAAACTGCTCTCCTTTACACACCACAGAGAAACCTTCCTGTCTCCCATCAGAATGGCTGAGTCCTAACACCTCGAGGTCACCTCCTTACGCCTGCTTGGTCTCACGCTGTCCGTTAACATGAGATGGAATAAGTACATTGAATCAATAGCTTCATCTACGGCAAGGAAAGTTAATTCTCTATGTCGTGCCAGAAAGTTTTTCTCGTCTGAGTCCACTCTTCCAATGTATAAATCATCCACCCGTCCTTGCATGGAATATTGCTGTCACATATAATCTGGTGACCCCGGTTTACCTCTAGAGGTCGTCGACAAATTCCAGAGACGTATATGCAATGCCATAGGTTCTCATCTGGCATCTCGTCTACAGTCGTATTCCCACAGACGTGCGTGGCTTCCACCTGCCTCTTCTACAAGTACTTTCACGGAAACTTTTCCAACGAGCTATTTTCGCTGGTTCCCGGACTGTATAAATTTAAGCGAGCTACTAGGATGGCATCTCGGTTCCAAAGTTTTACAGTCGAAACGGTTAAATCTAACCGTCTCTTCTACTAAAACACCTTTTTCTCTAGCACTTCCCGTCTGTGGAACTAACTTCTTTATGCATGATATCCTGATAACAATAATCTTCAAATATTCAAGTGTAATGTCAATCGACATCTTCTGATCGATTGATCTTATCTCTCGTTCTTCTCTGTATCCTCAAATACACCTCTTTACTGTTGACCTCAACCCTCTGTAATCCCTTGCGTGCTAGTGGCACTCCTGCTTTGCTTGGAGTTAATTGCTTTTTTTTTTAATCGGTATCATCCCATGAATGACAGTAAAGCTACTAAAACAAAAGGGGTTACAGGATGTGGAAGAATTAGAAACAAAAACATTAATAATGAGTAGGAAGAGAAGAGTGTAATAAGTAGGACAGTAGATAGTGATTCACATTGTATTTAAACGTTTTCAGATTAAAGTTGACTGAAAAGCAGAGGTGCTGGAAGGGAGTTCCAGAAGCGAGAACTGCAAGAAAAGAAACTGTTAGCATAGAAATAATGGCTATAATATAACCACTCACTTGTAATCATCGTTGATTCTTACGCAGAATTGAAGGTTTTCTGTTTTTCCCACCGCATGCATTACGATATGTTACTGGATAATTATTCATTATTCATCTGTCAAAACTTCTGGGCTTCCTTGACATTCCCAAATGAAATATATCATACATTCTCGGATTCTGGTTTCGGCTGGATCTTTCACCACATTTGTGCCAATGCAATTTTCACCGTCTTGAAGTACATGTTTGATTATACGATTGTAGAAAGCTTTTACCATTTTTTGTTCACTTACCCGAGGATTGATAACTAAATCATCCCATGAAGATTATATGGAGAGAAGACAGTGTGGCGAAAATTATCCTTTTAACATATTTATTATCAAATGCAGTTGGACCATTCCAGGTAAACTTCAAATTGATGAGATCTCGACGTCAGTCTAGTACTGTGCATAAATTCATACAGTCTAAATATCAATAGATCATCCGAAGAATTACCATGAAAGTATTTATAAAAAAAGACTCATAGAGGCAACCTTACGGCAGTGGACAAGTGAATGAAGCTGGTCACGACCGATAATATTGCTGATTCTTCTTTGGGCCTTATCGAGGTGCTCCGGGAAAATAGCTTAGACAATGGACAATACATAGCAACAATATTCGAAGCATGGACGAATGGTAGACTTATAGATATGCAAGATAGATTCCGGAGCCTTATTCGACACAGTGAACTGACTTTCTTGGCAGCTGTTCTAGCGATGGATCCAATGCAGCCTTTCTATCTCAGGTTAGCTTATTTACTCATGATAGTTTGAACCATCGAATGTATCTATTATCACTATACGCCGACAATACGAGGTATGGTTAAAAATATATAAGCCCCAATAAAACAACGCATCCAAGCGAAGAGCTCATCGGAACAATTGCTATGAAAGTATTTATGGAAAAGTCACAGAGAGGCAACGTTACGGCGGTTTGAAAATGACTGAGTATTTCCTAAATTCTGCTAATAACTTAGGGTGAGGAAAGTACATTATTGTTGTGAGTTTCTTGTGTCATTAATAAATGACCGGGTTTGATGTAGTTTAGGGAATTACCTGGAATGGTCCAACTGTATTTGATAATAAATATGTTAAAAGGATAATTTTCGCAACGCTGTCTTCTCTCCATATGATCTTCATGGGGTGATTTAGTTATCAATCCTCGGGTAAGTGAACAAAAAATGGTAAAAGCTTTCTACAATCGTATAATCAAACATGTACTTCAAGACGGTGAAAATTGCATTGGCACAAATGTGGTGAAAGATCCAGCCGAAACCAGAATCCGAGAATGTATGATATATTTCATTTGGGAATGTCAAGGAAGCCCAGAAATTTTGACAGATGAATAATGA